TAGAATAGAATAATGAAGGAATGGAATGGAATGGAATGGAATGGAATAGAATAGAATAGAATAGAATAGAATAGAATAGAATAGAATAGAATAGAATAGAATAGAATAGAATAGAATAGAACAGAACAGAATACAATAGAATAGAATAGAATAGAATAGAATAGAATAGAATAGAATAGAATAGAATAATGAAGGAATGGAATGGAATGGAATAGAATAGAATAGAATAGAATAGAATAGAGCAGAATAGAACAGAATACAATAGAATAATAGAGCTGGAAGGGACCTTGGAGGTCTTCTAGTCCAACCCACTGCTTAGGCAGGAAATCCTATAGCATTTCAGACAAATGGTTGTCCAATTTCTTCTTAAAAACTTCCAGTGTTGGAGCATTTACAATTTCTGGAGGCAAGCAGTTCCGCTGATTAACTGTTCTAACTGTCAGGAAATGTCTCCTTAGTTCTAGGTGGCCTCTCTCCTTGATTAGTTTCCAGCTGTTGTTTTTTGTCCTGCCTTCAGGTGCTTTGGAGAATAGTTTTGACTCCCTCTTCTTTGTGGCAATGCTAAAAGGACTTCCCAAACCTTGAGAACACAGTCAATGACTTTAAATATATGACTTTAAAGATATATTCTCATTTAAAATAACAAAACAAAGTGCCAGACCCAAGTCGCATGTGAATATCCATGCAAAAGAAAAACCCCAAAATCAAACAGTGAGGTTTTTTATGCTTTCTGAGCTTGGGGGATTTTCTTGCAGATGTTTCATTAACAAACTAGGGAATGAAGGGCACTGATGAGGTTACCTAGTTGGGTCATGAAACGTCTGCAAGAAAACCACCAAGCTCAGCGAGCACCAAGGATTCCACAGTTCAATCCTGAGTAACAAATACCCTCTAAAATCACAGAACAGGATATCTAGAATGAAAACGAGGATCAATGTATTGAAGTATCGAATATTTTGATAAGAATGGCACGCGGGCAACCATTGTCTTGTTGGAGCAGAAATAAATATGGCCTAAAGCTGAATTTATTTTTCTCATTTGGTGGAAGTTTAGTGGGTTAAACTGTAAAATGGGTGCAGCAAGCCTTGTAAGTATCAAGCATTTTGCAGTTAATATAGAAACTGTTTTTTAAAGAGAAAGACATGGGAATAATATAAGATAATTTTATATATGAACTGTTCATAGTGAGCTTCCCAGAATTGGAAGGAAGGAAGGAAGGAAGGAAGGAAGGAAGGAGAGAGAGAGAGAGAGAGAGAGAGAAAGAGGGAGGGAGGGAGGGAAAGAGGGAGAAGGAAGGAGAAAGAAAGAGGGCGGGAGGGAGAAGGAATAGAGAAGGAAGGAAGGAAGGAAGGAAGGAAGGAAGGAAGGAAGGAAGAAGAGAAAGAAAGAGGTCGGGAGGAGAAGGAATAGAGAAAGAAGGAAGGAAGGATCATGTGAATCAAAGCAAAACAATTTTTGGGTCATACTAAAAATAGAAAAACCTAAGATTGATTTAATTAACTGCATAATTATTTATTAAGCTCTGTTAAATACAAGGAAGCGCACATTTTCTCCTCCTGCAACATTAAACATGTCACTTTGAGGGCAACTTTTGAAGGGGACGGTTCTTTTTCACCCGGCAAACCTTCCCAGGGGCATCCCCTTTGCCCGCAGTAGCTTCAGAGAGAAGCTAAAGAAGAACAGAAAATGGGAGACAACCTTAAAAAAAAACCATCAAAACCCCCTCAACTCCAGTAGTTTTAAATTCCAGGAATCTCCTTGTAGGTTCTGTCCTGGCGCATTAACTGTGATATATATTATTGATAGACTGTAATCCTAAAAAAAAAGACAGAAATATAAGTCTGACATCGCAACATATGTTTTCCCGGCCCCCGAATCTGCCAGACTCACTGACAGATTTCGGTGTGCCTGCTTCCAATTTAGAACAACTTCACAAAGACACAGTATTCCTGCTACGGAAGAGCTGACAGCCGCTCCTCGCTTCGTAGTGCTGACAATGTTTTGATGCTAAAAGAAGCTTCTGGAAAAAAGACGCTCAGCAAAATGGACCTTCATCTGCATTCAACGTATACCCATCTCTGTTTTTCATTACTACAAGCAGCTGGCTGGCTTTTTCCAGCTGAAGAAAAGGAAGGGAAAAAAAAACCTCCCACAATAACACAACTATGGAGGGACAAAGAATGTGTTACCTTTGGTACAGAGCATCTCCTTCGGTTTGGCCATCGCTGTGTGCATCGTTTCCCCCCAGAGGTGCAACATGGGACATCCAAGAGAGGATCCACAAAACAAAAACGAGAGAGAGAGAAGGGTGGGGGATAGTTAGTAATCACAGGAGCTAAAAATCCAGTTTATTCTCTGAGGGTCAAGTCCCGCTTCAAATAATATTCTACTGCTGCCTGTATTTTGAGAATATAAATGGGAAACAGTACCGAGAAAGGCAAAGATTTTGAAATAGTGGGGTCTTAAGTAATTCTCTGAGTTTGGTTGTTTTCTTGCACGTGTTTCATTACCCAACTAGGTAACATCATCAGTATTAGAATGAAGTTGAGCATGCAGAAAAGAGGAGGAGGAGGAGGAGGAGGAGGAGGAGGAGGAGGAGGAGGAGGAGGAGGA